GGACAAAATACTGTGACAGAGATAACGTCCAGTTCATTTCCATCTCGGTACATTCTCACACACACACACACACACACACACACACACACACACACACACACACACACACACACACACACACACACACACACACACACACACACACACACACACACCACACACACACACACACACACACACACACACACACACACACACACACACACACACACACACACACACACACACACACACACACAGACACTCACAATTGTATTTCTGCTTTTGAAAGTTCAAGACATATGTTCATGTGTATAACAGAGGCAAAGATCTACTGTAACACATTATGTGCTTGAGCAATATTATGTGATGCGTTTCATCTAAGTGTTTGGAAAGACATAAAAACACCATACTTCATAGTAAAGTTGCATTTTATAAAATGTTCAGATAATAAGTCATTATTGTAGCTTTTCAGCCCACATGTTAACTTCTTGAGTCACTTGTGTTTCTCATCACTGTCAAGTTCAGCAGCTGTCATGGGTTTTTTACGCAAAGAGCTTTAAAATTCTAATATGTGCACCTACCACAAATGGGCTGTTGGAGTGAAGTGTTTTTTTGTTGTTGAATTGTTGTGGCAATTCAGATGGTTGTTTGCAAAATGCAATGTTATAAGTGTAAAATAAAGTGAGCGGAATACAAATTACTGAGTTGGAGTCATTTGAATTACTTATATTGATAGAGCAATTTGGATTAAATAATGTTAAGTGCAAATAACACAATCCTACAACATAAATGGAACTAATTTGTGTTAAGTAATTACAACCTAACGGTGTTAGGTAAATCAGTGCAAACTTTAAGTAAATACAACATAATTGTGTTAAGTAAAAACAACAATTTAAGTAAATTCAACATAACTGTGTTAAGCAAATACAACATAACTGTATGATGTAGCATTTAATTAAGATGCTTTGGTAAGATTTACTTAAATGCAAGAAGTAAATATTAGTTTACTAGTCTGTTTCCTATTTACTTAGCCTTGTTACGTGCAGCCGGTTGACATAACTAGATTAAGTAAATCTAACATATCATTTCTTTGAGTGTACGATTAGCTACACAGAACCACAAGTAGGAATTTCCTAGAATGAAAAAGAAAATCTTATGCCTTTAAGACAACAACCAAGCACACTAATCTGCTTCTGCCCCCCCCCCCCCCCTTCTTGGGCCCTCATGGGTGGCAGGGACTCCATCTTGGCAGGACCCTGCCACAGAAGGCTGCTTTTACCCGCATTCAGCCAGCCTTGTATGGTAGCATTGTCTGTATGCTAAACACAGCCTCATACCACAGGCTCTTCCCAAAAAACGATCGGCCCTTTGACCGCGGCAACACAACAACACATGATGATCTGCTATCACAGAGCTGAGAGTTTACTGTTCCATTTAATGATAATTAGGCCGACACTGATAACGCTGTACACAAAGCCTGGGCTGCTGAACATTATGCTGTAGTGTCAGAGCCCTGCTGTGTTATTAGTGAGGCTCAGGGTCACACTATCACTCCTCCAGCAGACACGCAGCACCAACTCCTCTGACAGAAGGAAAGACAGAGCTCCATTTTTTGACTTTTTTTTTTTTTTAGAAAAGAAACAGACAATGAAATGCTGCTCTGCTGCTTGTTAAAGAAGTAGGAAGAGAAGATGTAATAGCCACAGACAAAGTCAAAGTTCCACTTTAATAATCCCCACAGAGACTTTTTTATCTTTGGTCAACTAACGCCAGCTTTAAGGGCCAGCAGCTTGAGTATACAGATGGTTCTAAAACGGCAACTTTCATGTTTTTATTTGTTTGCAAGTTCACAAAATGTCTGGAAATAATGAAAAAAGCCCATTACAGTTTTCCACACACAAAAAAACTGTCCTTACAGACAAAAGATATTCAACCATCATAGAAAGCAGAGAAAAGCACCACACCATTTGTACATTTGAGAAGCTGGAACCAAACAATGTTTGCCTGAAAAATAAATCCTTCCTAATAAATGATGTTGTGTGATTTTTTTTTAAATCAATCAACTGAAGAATTAATTATTTTATCTAGTTCCCCTTTTCTTGTTTCTGCCTTTAGTAACAATTATTATTGACTGACTGTATACTGGAAACGGAATAGTAACAAATAAAAAATGCGTACAGTATGTTGTCTTGACATGGTACTGAAAGAGTATCAAGTGTGTTTGCAGTACAAACCCGTTTACATTTTTCTATAGACACACTAGGAGCAATTGGGTTCAGCTACATGCTCAAGGACACTTGTGTTGAAAAGAAAACGTTGGGATTAACTGCTAATTTTGAAATGAAAGGCCAAACCCCTCGACACCCAGCTCTTCTACTGACAGAAAGAAACATGTACTTAACAAATCAAAAAGAATGTCTAACAACTTCAATTTTACCAAACAGACTATATAGGCAATCAATATTATTTTTATGGACATTATTATAACTTTTATTATCAAAAGATACAGGGGCAAACTTTTTTTAAAGGACAGCTGAAGACATGTTTCTATAGATTAGCTTTTTATAAGCGACTTTCCTCTTTTAATCATTATTATTCTTTTATTTTATAGGTTTTATCATTTTATTGTATTTATTCGCTGTGTCTTATGTCTCCCTTTGTTTTACTGAGAGGCTTATCTGTCTTGATCATTTTATTGTACTCTTTTTACTATCACACCTTTTCACCTCTTTGTGTTCCTCCTTGAATTGTTAATTATGTTTTTATGCTGTATGTGTGCAAAAAGGTGTTAATGTTTGACTACATTTCTGTTTAAATGTGTGCTGTATGCCATGTTGGTAAATCACTACGAGGTGCACTTGAACATGTGGAAAGTGCTATACATAAAGCTTTTTTATTATTAATCATAATTAAATTAAATGAATCTTCAATGGCTCCGCTTGAACTGGGTACCAACAACGAGCCACCATGTTACCCAGGATGCAGCTGGTGATGATTTCCCACAGTGATAGACTTTTCAATAAATACTCGAGTGCAACGCCCCCCTAGTTTGTAAAACCACAACCACGTCGAGCGTTTTCATCCAGAGAGCACTCATCCCGCTGATCTGAAACATTAGAAGCTCAGCAGCCATTCAGAATCCATTTCACCTGTTCAGATATGCTCAGGAATCAGCTGTACTAATGTGGAAAAAGTTCCCAGCTTCCCTTTGCCTTAACCATGACCGACTTCTGGGTAAGCATTACACAGCCGGCCCCCCCACCAGCTCTGCTTTTACAACCCCGCAGGCTGGCACTGAGCTGAGGCAGCATGACAGAGAATATAGAATTAAAAAAACAGGGGAAAAAAACACCCCGGATGCCCTTTTAAAAAAGATATATATTCAAGCGAGGGCACACCCTGACACATTTTATGCTAGCTCATCACAATACTGAGAAAAATCGGCATACAACCCACAAAAAGGAAGAAGAAGAAGAAAGGCAGAAGTATAACTTTTCAGTTTGATCTCAACTTTGACAAAGGGAAAATTAATGTGGTTGTTTTTCGTGGAAGGATACGTAGAAGGGGTTGAATCGCTTATAAGCTGGCCAACAGAGTAATTATCGCTGATTGTATCTAAAAGAAGCTGTCATCAAGTAGTGCTGACATTCACCAGCACAAACTCCAGTAATGTGAAGTGACACTTTAATGGGCACAGAACGAGATGTGCAGCGCTGATTGTCTGAATATTCTCAGTAATCGATGTTTGACACCTTTCAATTGCATTCTGCGATGGCCATTACACAGAAAGTAGTGACACTGTCCTCTGTCTAAATATGGGTGATGACCTACAGAAAGCTAACTTAGATGTGTGCAGAAATAGGGCAAGAGAAAGAGATTTGTTATTGGTTTTATCAACTGGTCCCTTTTCTCCCACCCCTCACATTTTTCCATGACAACAAGACTAAAAAAGCCTATTCCTAATGCTTTGACTCTGAACTGCTGTATCCTTTTAGTGGATAGCAGTTATCTGGACATGATAGCCATCAAATATCATCAAAACAGCCTGATTATTACCCAGCTCTGAGTCAGGATCTCCATTCTTTAGCAGAGGCACTGACAACTCATCGACTATTACTAAAACCACAGGGACCAACAAAACAACTCTTGTCCAAATGCTTCAAATTTGAGCTCAAACTAAAAAGTTATACGATTTTGCAACAGTTTTGTGATGAGCTAGCATGTCTGTGTTCTGGCTCGCCTGCATTGGAAATAAATATATGTCTGTGTTGTAAGAGAAATAAAGAGTTAGAGTGCAATGCATGATTAATGCCCAAGTGATTTGTTTTTCTTTGTTATAAAAATGCCAAACATTCTGTGGTTACAGCTTTTCTCTGTTTCCTGTTTATTGTTGATGTCACTTTTGGTTTAAATGCCATACTGACTACATGACTAAATGACAATGTTTGGACACTAATGAAGATTACATTCATATCACTGGCATCAAAAGTAGCATTGCTTAAGAAGGCTAGCATTTCACCTATTTGAACTGCTGGTAATATTAGTAGTAGTAGCCTAGTAGTGGTAGTAGTAGTAGTAGTAGTAGTAGTAGTAGCAGCAGTCTTTAAATGTCTCAGGTGTGCACTACTCGGCTAATTATTGTGTCTGAACTAGCTAACATTTTGCACAAAGCAGACATGCACAGCCTCTGTCGGAGATAAAAGCAGCTCACTGTACCTGAATCTCCCTCCAGTTCATTTCGTTAAGTATAGTATGTTGCATATTTGGAGGAGTTTATTTCCAAAACTAACCAAACTACACTGTAAGCATTGGACATGACAACAAAGCCTTAGAGTATTAGTGGTATTAGCCTAGTAGTGGTGGGTAGTAGCAGCAGCAGCAGTCGTTGAATGTCTCAGGTGTGCACCACCACTCTTCAGTTCTTGTGTTTGCACTAGCTCACATTTTGTATACAGCACAGCAGACATGCACAGCCGGTTGTCTCGGTGATAAAAGCAGCGTTATGGGGCTCACTGTACCTGAATCTCCCTCCGCAGTGCTGGCATTGGTCCCCTACCCAGCCGGGGAAGCACACACATTTGCCAGTAGCGGTGTTGCACTGCCCGTTCATGCACGGTTTGTCGCATTCCTTCGCCTCGGTGGAGCTGGGCAGCCCAGACAGCAGCCCGGTAACAGAGAGCAGGAGAGCGGTTGTCAGCATCAGCAGACTCCGGCCCGAGCAGGCCCGCCGCGTCGCCCCGTACATTCTCCCACAAAAGATGGCTGCTTTGAGGAGAGAGCTCCGGTGCTTCGGGGGATAGCGACTAAACGCGCAGCCGGTCGGTGTGGTTCTTAAAGGACGGTTTCCAAGGGAATAACGGTAGTTGTGTTCGTTGAGGCTGGTCTTCTCCGGTTACTTGGTTTACATCTTCCCAGAGGTTCCGCCGTTACCCAGCGCCGCACCAAGCCGCATATTGACATCCAGAAGTGACGTTGTAGTAACGGAAATGCGCAACCGGGGGGAGGCACCCAGCGCCCGCCGGACTTTAAACGTTAATACATTGAAGACTAGTTAATCGTACGTATTTTTATACTTCCCTGTTGACTTTTATTTGTTTGCGCGTTCGAGTATGTTATTTTGTATTTGATATTGAAATATTGTGTTATTATTATTATTATTATTATTATTATTATATATGTTGCACTACTCAGACACAACAAGGATATGTATTGCTGTGTTCAACTTGCCTTCATCTTTGTGCATTCATTGTTAAATACAAAATAAACTTATAATTTGAAAATCAGAAAGCAATTCTTTTTTTTTACTGACGTATTTATAAAATATACACATTTTATATACAGAAAGTGAAGACCCTCCAAAACCTAAATATTTTCTGGTATAATTAAATGTTTACATATATATTAACCCTCACAAAAATAATACTATAACAGTAGAGAAAATTAAAGTTCATGTTTAACTTTATTTTCTGACTCCTTTTATTAAAATATATTTTTAAAGATCATGTATTTTGTGTTACATACCGGACTTGCTTGGTTACAATGTTCAATAGGAAGAAGACTTATTTTATGTGGATGCTGACAAAATATTTGCATAGCATAACATTTAATTCTTGAATACATATTAATATATGTTTGTTGGGTCATAATACAAATATGAAAAATTAATTAAAAATGCTGTTATTTATCATTATATCATCATTGAGAATGTTTTGCTAATCTCTTGACTTAGTGTTTGTTGAATATGATTCAGGTTGTGTGATTGTGGAATAAACCACTGATTCTGTTCCCTGAATATATATTACATACAACCATTTAAAGTCTCACTAAACCAATGTGAATTATTCATTGGACTGATGATAAAGAAATATGTTTTTCTGTTTCATGAAAGTTTTAGCATTGGTGTTTTTTTGCCTTATGAGGTTTAGGTGATAAATGTCATGATGATGTAACTGCCCACCTCCAACCCACAGACTGCACACCAAGGACACCAAACTGTAAAACGGTATAGAACAGTTTATTAAATTTAGACTTGTAAGAAGTCATCATATTCCAACGCGCTCCATCGCATGAAGCGCATTCATAATAACACCAACCCGAAAAGGATTGATCACGGTCAGAACATAAATAACGCAAATAAACATATTTACAATTTAACATGAAAAGAGAATGGGGTTTGTGCACAGAAAACTACAGATCCAGACGGAGGCATCAGAGAGACAAAGGAAGGGTTGGATATTTTTCAATTAAACGGTCCTGAAAACTACCTGAACGGCAGGAGTGGAAGGAGGATAAACACAATTCAACAAAGCATGAACATGACAAATCTACAGTATAATCACATTTTCTTGGTTTGAGTGAAAAGAAGGACATCTCTATTAACTCCAATTCTTGACTTGTGTTAATAATGTTATTTATTAAGTCTTGCCATTAACAGCTTTGAAAGGTTCCTTCTTTTCTGTTGGAAATCCATCAAAATACTATATATATATATATATATATATATATATAGTACTTCAAATTATGAATCCTCTATTCACGGAAACAAAACATTTCCAAGATCCTTTTAGCCTTTTTTGTGGGAGAAAATAATTTATCATGGATACATTATTGAATATCTTTAAAATAACAAACACTCAAGAAAAGGTGTTACATTCTCAACACTTAAGTAACAGTACCCACATTCTGTTGTTCAAAGAGCCAATTTCGTCTGAATTTGTGGCAGGAGTTTTCACACTTCCCCCCCTCACTTGAGGACATGCCGTTATGGAAATTGTCCTCCCAGTTTCCCTGGAGTTTCCACCCTTATCACTGTGGGAGAACAGTCTGTATTTAAACCTTAAGGAGAGATATAACAACAATAAATGACTCATCTTCAATTGGCTGAATGGATGGATGAACAAACCTCAGTTTGACTTCCTGTATCAAACACAGTCAAGACTTTACAGTAATCAAAACCCTGCAGAATAATCAAAAGAACTGCGCTTATTAAAATAAAAAAGTCGAAAGAAGAGAAGATCCATAGAAAAGTACAATCATTGAAAGCACATAACAATTAGCATTTTGTGTGTGAAGTTACAAACAGGTCATGTGACTCTCCCAGCACTTGTTATGTACATCAAACAATGCTAGTGTGGGTCACATGACCAACATCAGGTCCAGGTCCCCAGGAGACAACGTAAAGGGGATTAAACAGTTTCATCTTTGTGACTAAATGCTGATTTCCTCATCATGGGAAGGCTGCACACCTCAGTATGTGTCGTGCTTCACCGGGAACACCAGCTGGACGGGGTTGGAGCACAGTAGCACAAATCCCAAACATGTGAGGTGAGTTATTAGTTACTGAAAAGTACACTTTACTGTCTTTCAAATGGCACTCTGGTCCTGCAGGCTCTACTGTGGTGCTAAAAGCAGGGTGAACCCCTTCCACTTGGGACCCCACACACATGAAGACAAACACTGAGAATAATTTCAAATAGCGAGTAGAGGTGACCACCGTCATCATCATTATCTGTCTCTGGAGGTCACACTATAACATTCAGCTATCCATTAATGGCAGAGATCGTCTCCTCTTTGCTCCCCCCTCTCACAGTATATCACACTATCTTACAGTAGCCTCATGAAAAAAAGCCATTTACAAGCCATGGCGCCTTACAATATGTACAGGATTAATCAAACGTATCGTCTGTTTTAAGAAAGAACAGGATATAAACAGATTTTTCTTCATATGTACAAAGACGAGGTGTTGTAAAATGATTGAGCACCTCAGAGTCATTGTGTAAATTTACACACAGAAAAAACTGCTTCCAAGTACTGGCTTTAAGATAACAAACTCACGCCTTCACTGTGCGATCAGGAACATGCAGGAAAGAGACAGGAGGTTCAGCATTCATTCTAAAGGCAAACCATATCTGATGATCCGGATTCATAAACTCTTCTCTACATCACCTTCTCTCGATTAAAAAAAACACATAGGAAAAAGAAGATGGTCTTTTTTTGGTCTCCCATATCAGGCATTTAGGGTGTCAGAACACCAGATAGTGCTCGCACCAGTGATCAGCGCTGCTCACTGGCAGATGATGATCAAGCATCGAAGGCCCCTCTGGAGTGTCCTCTTGGTTTTGATACCTGAGGTGTAGCGTGGGTGAGTGAACACTGGCTGAATGTTGGGAGCAAGCGGCACGTCAGGACCAGACCGGTAACAAGTGATATCCAAAATAATGTCAGAGTACCAGATGATTGAGTTTGCGAAGTCAGAGTGAGGAGAATGCCGCTTGCTTAACAGGTAAATATCTCAAAACCAATTAGCTCTAATGTTCTGTGGTTATAGCTGCGTCTACACTGGTACTTAATGCCATTTAAAATAACCACTCAGAATTTATTTGCCTGTACCGCTTGAGCCAAGTCTGGTCGAGAACATTAAAGAACGGCTGCTCCTTTTAAAAAAGATATTTCGCTTGCAAGTGTGATTAAAATTGGGAACGTGGGCAGCATAATGGTGTGTGAATATGTAACTGCATGTGAGTGTGCCAAGGAGAGTTACTGTTCAGGACTCAAAAAGTCCTGCACGTTTACTCGTCAAACTCGGCTATAAAGTCTTAGGCAGTGTGTGATTGCAGAGGGGCTGCAGACCAGCAGGGGAACATGGAGATCGTGGGACAGAGGGTTTACATATTGCGGTTTTTTATTTCGGGGCTTTCAGGTAGACGATGTCTGCCGTGACGGCCGGCCCATGGACGAGGCGCTGTAGGTGCGGGAGCGCTGCCTCACCACCACCCGCCATGGCAGCTCCAGCTCCTGGAAGAGGGGGGTCCCTGTGATCTCTGCTGCCTCGGGACGCTCGCTGGGGCTCCAGGACAGCATACTGCGCACCATACTCAGCTACGAGAGAGGAAACACAGGACAGGGATGATTTTAGAACAGTGTTGTGCTACTTCTTATATCATCATCATCCATTAGATTAATCCATTTGATTCATGTAAACACAAATACATACACTAGACCATCTAAAAATGTAATTTAGCAACCATCATGGCCAAAATAATTGTGATTCACAATGTTAGTCTGATAAGAAATATGCTCAAAACTTAAACATTACATTTAGCTGACGCCTTTATCCAAAGCGACTTACAATTACCGATTACAGGGACATTCTCCCTGGAGTAACTAAGGGCTGTTCAAGGGCACACTAGTGGTGGAGTTCCAGGCGGGATTTGAACTCACAACCTTCCGATCTTCAGCCCACCTCGCTACCCATTAGACCACCACTACCCATATTAAACATACTGAAATCAAACTCCCTTATATTTTTACAAGACTTTTGTTTCTTGCATTAAAGATGGACATATTCCCTAGTGACCATCAATGTTTGTGAAAAACAAAACAATGATATTTTAAATGAGATGATCATTTGCCACACATGCTTGAATAAAGGATACATAAAAAAAAAATGGTATCTTTGTGAATGTCATGATAATTGATGTTTCTTTTTCATTCAGTTTTTCACTTTGCTACCATAATAGGGAGCTGTACAGTTTTTCCTGAAGTAACTCATTAGTATATTCAAAATTATCCTCGTAATGGAAAGTCACCAAGGTCAATTTTTTGCGGGTTTTTATGTGATCTGTGATAAAATCCTCAATCGTCGTAACCCTAACAGACACACACACAAACATGCACTCACACACAGGACGTCTAATAATAGCTCACAACAGGTAAAGTTGGATACTGGGTTAACATGGCGAGGGTATGTCCAGTGTTAGATAATGCTATGGGATTATGTTAATCTCATTACACAGTAAACCGGGGTAGAAGGTAAAGAGACCAACCCTTCACCAAGCAGTAGACCGGGGCCTGGTGTGGTAGTAAGGAACATATTTATGTCATTTGAACATAGTTACGGATAAACTAGTAATAATGGGTTTGTGGATATAGATTTGATTCACAAATCATGTTGATACAACTGCCTCAGATTGTAAAATGAG